AAACACAGATTATCTGTTGTGAGTGTACCACAAATAATAAAAGATGATTGATAGAAAGAGAGGTATAATATGAAAAAGATGGAGGAAAAATTCAGAATAGAGAGGAGTGAATAATGGTAAGATGGAAGAAATATTATGAAATAAAATAGTGTTAGGTAGAAAGATGTAGATTAATGTTGGAAATAATAAAAATACAAAAGAATACAAGTTGGTGGTAAGAATATAAAGTGAAGGGTGGAAAAATAAACTAAATTATTTATAAGGAAAGTAAGATACAAATAATGACAGGAAGGATATAACACTAAGTATAAAAATAATAAGGAAAGGAAAAGGGAATGAATTGCATGTAAAATATAGGAAAGGTTACAAAAAAAGTAATTACATGGCACATGACCCCAAGTGTATCAAGTCTGAACTTACACATCATAAATTGCCAAGTGAGGATTCAGCATTGCTCAACACCAAGTGAAGTTTATTGAGTGTTAAAATTAAATGATTAAAATTATACATGAGTGTCCTTGAAAAAGTTGATGTAGGCCCAACTAAGGTTAAATTGATGCAGTGCTGATTTTAATGAGAACTTATAATACAGGCCAGGTGCTTAGGAAAATGCTTAATGTCCTTAATTTCTATTTTCACAATTGTTATTTACTGGACAAATGCATTGCTTTGGACTATAATACCATAATAAAAGTATGAAGTCTATAATTGAAGGTTTACTTCAACCTAAATCTTGAAATTATAAAGAATTGCTTAATTTCTGCTTTCAATTGAAAATGATAACCAGCTTTACTTGCTGTTCAAATAGTATCTTTCCTATATACCTCTAAACTTTGGCAGAAAATTTAACCATTTCTTATACTAGTTAAAAATTTTTAAATAATTGAAAACTTTTGAATCTGTAACATTTGAAGTTTGTAACTAATGTAGTTTTTTTTTTAAATTAGACATTTTAAAGTTTTTAAAATTTTTTTTCAGCTGGCAGTATATCTTAAACTTAATATGTAGACCTATGAAAATGACATGCCAGTTGTCAATATTATACAGTATTATTGTATTAATTAAAAAGCAATGACATGATTCATTTTGCAATGTGCCTTCGGTGGTTATTTATGACAGGAATGTAGGTTTCTTGCTTAGAGCAAACTTATTTTACAATTTTGTTACCCAATTTCCTCTTGTTTTTTAATGATGCGATTATATGTAATTGGAATAGTTGATACAAAATATAATATGTTTTGCCAACAGCAGTTCTTTGCTTCCGACTTTTGTAAAACAGAAATTCCATTAACGAGGTATGCAGAAAATCAACTTCCGCCATACACTTAAAAAGTACACACAATTCTGCATGTACCCCTTATAAGTATCCCTAAGATATCTAAACCTTACAAGTAATATAGGCTATTGTGACTCAAAATTAATTAAAATGTGTATGCG